AACAGATGTAATTGGACCAGCAGAGGTTATATACTTTTGAAAAGCTGTAGACAACAATCAGAGACACTTGAGTGATTTCAGTCTGTGATCTTTTAGCTTGGTAAAGATGTTCCAAACGCCTGCACCATGGCAAAAACCAATCATTAATGGAAACCAAGCCGTTTAATGGAGTGTAATAACGGTATACTGTTAGATGAAAACCCAGACTGAAGTCCCCTTGAGATTTTCTTCAACATTTTCTCTCCCAGTTACCATGTCACCTGTTTTTATTGCCATTTGATCCAACAATTTAGTCATGGATTATCTTGTTTTCTAAAGGCACTATGAAAAAAAATCCTTTTCATAATATCTGACCATGCAAAACGGAACGGCACCAGATTGGAGAGGTCATATGCATGAGTTTTTGATGGCTCAATATGAAGTTAATGTCCCTTTTATAGTAAATCAATATGGCTTTAAAGTAGATTTTTTTTGCTTTTTAAACGGATGTTTTGTGGGTAGGCTCTTAACACATGCATTGATTCAGAGCTTACGCCACGAAAACAACCAAGCGCCAACCTCCTATCAATCATCGTTCTCCCTAGCAGACCTGATCTTGATCACATGATTTAGCCATGCAGCCAATCCAAAACATGATCTCTTAGGAGCAACATACATTCGTAATTATTGTTTATTATAGTGTAAAAATAGACCCATTTGTCGAATCAAGTGGAGATGAAAGAACAAAACTCGCACAACATCGTTCACATAAGCTTTGAATTAAATCACATGATTTAGCTGAGCAGCCAATACAAAACCTTTTATTGTTTGCAAACAATGATGACACAGCGAGCATTTTTTTTTATTAGGTCTCCTCTCCAGTCAACATTGATTGCCCACAGCTACAGAGGACTCCAGTTCTTCTGGAATGGCTATGGTGCTGTTGACCCTGGAGGAAAAAAGAGGGAAAGAAAAGAAACCCAGTCCAAACTGCTACGTAGCAGGAAATTTGATATCCATCAAAAAAATGTATGCGTCCACTTCCCATGACGTAGCAGTTTGGAGTTAGGGTTTCTCTTTTTTTCTTCTTTCATCCTCCAAGATAAGTTCAAACTACATATTAATTTAGCAGTATTTTCACAGAAGTTAAGATGAACCAATAATAAGACTAGATATAATGGTCGTAAATTTCTCTCAAAGCCTGCAGCTACAGAAGCCTCCAGTTCTTCTGAAATTGCTCTGATACTGTTGGAATCCTATAAACCTTTGGCCCGTTAGTGGAATATTGGTTAGTGCAACTATAAATGCAATAACCAGACATTTTGATGCCAGGACATGGTTTTATGATCTTGTAACTGCATCTGGGGAACACCATTACGTCCATTGCTTAACGGTACATTCAACAATTTGATCACATGCACTGATTCTCCATCGTCTGAATCCTCACTTAGTATTATTTACCTTGCTTTACAATCTGCAACAAAAACCTTCCCACTCACTCTTAATCCTCATACCGGGAGACCAAAGGAGTATATTAAACTTTCCATCAACTCACCTGGTCTACATGCCGAAAACATTGAATTCCTGCCGTGTTTGGTGGGCCAGATTTTGTGTTAAGTTTTAAATGAAATCAATGGTGACCTTGTGTGTCCTCGTCATAATATTTTATTTTATTTCGGAGGTACTTAGAACAGATGTTTTCATCTTTAATGCTGATTTTGGGGGTTCAGAGCAACATTACCTGTGTTTTAATCACCTAAACATTAGCGGAATCTTCAGAGCATGCTGAAAAGGTTGATTTTGTCAGACTTAGATGCAGGCTTTAAAAGGTGACTAATTAACAGCCATAAATCCATTTTCAACCAATTTGCTTTATGTAAATTTACCAATATCTGATAAGTAGAGCCGAAGCTCAAGCAGTGGAGCATGGCGCTGGCTACACCAAGGTCACTGTTTCAATTCCCAGGAAATCATGTTCTAATAACACGTACAGCTTGAATGCTCTGTGAGCCACTTTGAATTATATTATCCTTCCAAATGGAGCAATGAGAATTTGATAAGGTTATTAAAGGTGGTCCATTTTAAGAGTGGGTTTTACAGAGCATCTTAAAGTTACAAAACCAAGACCAGCAATTCTGCTTTTTTTTTCCAGTTCGAATATTAAAAGAAAAAAAAAGTAAAATTATGCAAAATCTGTCTTCTGTTATTGTGGTCTACCCAAAGCATGACTGAGTATATTATGTGTGTTCTAGAGCTTGAGCTGTCATACACTTATTCCTTTTAACCCTTAGAAGTCTCTGTTCGCACCAGTGCATGTGCCAATCACACTCCCTGTTTTGAACTAATTTCGAGTTATGACACATAAGTTGCAAGGTAATTCAAATAAAAATGTCAGAAAATGATCAATCATCTGTCAGTTTCATTTTAAAGACTCCAAATTGGTGCCGTCCGTTAGTTATATCTCTTGGAAGTACAAAACCTCTAAGAGGGCCTGTTTTTTTAAAAGTCCTGGCTCAAAAAAATGTTTGGTACTGGGTGTAAGGTTTTCTGAGAGGTTTGCCTGTTTTTTTTAGACACAATTTCCACATTGTATTGACCTTGTCTTTTCTATAAGTGGACAACACTTCTGCAAAACAAAAATTTTCAATATTTTTAAACTTGATTTACAGTCATGTTTTTGATTTGCTGTATTGTTTTCTTGTAGCATCTCCAACAATTTAATTTTGTCCTTCCACTAAACTTTTTTCAATATAATATTTTGGAGCTGGTTCAGCTCATTATTCTGATGACCAAATCTGCTAAAGATTTTATTCATGTTACAAATTTTTAATTGGGATTGTAATGGCAACAAACTAAATCCTTGGAAAAAGCTTCAAAGTGAGCAGTAATTGGTCCAGTACTATTTCACCATTACCCTGTATAATGTATATACACACTCACACATTACACCCACCCACACGGTGTGTGTGCGTGTGTGTGTGTGTGTGTGTGTGTGTGTGTGACTAAATAAGGCAAGTTATCACATTCTTGGCTCCAGCGAACCACCAATATTTGTTTTAGATATTTGTTCATTTCAAAGAGAAAATTTGTATAAAAATGAATATCTAATGATTGTAACAGATGAGGTGTTACAAATTCAAAAACTTCAAGCGGAAAACTGGTGCAGTGCAGGAATCCAGAACCATAAACAGGTCAAGGACAAGCAGCAGACGATCCTGAAATTGGACAAACAAGTGCAAAATACATGAACATTCAATCATAACGATTAGAGAAATCAATTGATGAGGATGAGGGTGTGTGTGAAGGGCCTTGTAAACCACAAAGCATTATGGGACATGCAGTGCTGTGTTCTTGTATTGTCATTCTTACAATTGTGACTGTTGATAATACCATTTTTGTTGTCAAAAAAAAAAAATCTAAATCTCAAACTTTAAAAAATGTTGGGCAGGGATAAAGGACATCCTTTAAATTCTCAAAACCTCTGAAAACAGTTTCTCAATTTAGAAGCATGAATGTTTATTTGAAAAGATGGCGCATTTACAGAGACTGAACGATTGATCGCTGTCACGAAACTATAAACCTGTGCACTTTTTAACAGCACTGTAAATATGTACTCTGCCAAACTGATGGACTCAGATGTCTGCCAATCTGTTCTATTGATCCAAAACATTGATCACTAAAGATTAAAACCCTTTGTGTTCCACAAACCCATAATGAACCGGCTGAGGAGTAGATGAAGAGGTGAGATGCAAGATAAGACATGAAGGTTGAGAATGGTGAGGATTACAGTGAAGGTAACGCAGTCACTGTGTGTTGATGCTTTTCCTCAGATTGAAGCGATTATACTGAAGTGATGCTTTGGCTCTTGTATTGATTGGCCCCTGTGTTTAACATCTGATCGCCGGGGTGAATGAACTCTGCTAAACACGGCGATCCCCTCGAGACGCATCGCTATCAGCTCTTTGCTATTTTTGGCGCTCTATCATTCAGCCTTCACCAATAATCGAGGCGAACTGCACAAGTGCTCTCCTGGAAAGTCCTTTACAACATGTGTGTCATCATCATCATCTGTCCTCTAAGAACCTCAAGCATAAAGACACTCCATGCAGCCTAGACTCCTGAGAAATCTGACATGGCTTGAGAGGATTCATCCCGACAAACACTTCTGTTTTCCATTTTGCAGTCAATGCCCAACAAAGCTGTGGAAGATGGCACACCTTTGCAGAGGGAGGATGGATCCATAAATCCATCCCACATTTCCTTCAATGTGCCATTAGATGATTGTTTAGTGGAGCTCTCTTATCTGACGGATCACAGGGTGATTTAACAGCTCTATCATTGTGCTCATCTCTTCCCTGCTCTGCGCAGATGTTTGTCAAAGCATCATGCTTCCTTCCTGTCCTGTCACTCATCTCCATTAGAGGTTGATTTTCACTGCTAGGGATGTATTTCCACTGCTTTTGGATATGTTTAAAAGAAAAAAAATTGTTAAATTCTAATTTTCGATATGCAAATGAGTTTCAAGATTTGCAAATGTGTATCAATATTTACAAATGCGTGTTTTCAATCCGCAAATCGAGCATTTGCAGATAGAAACATTTATCTTGAAACGCATTTGCCGATCTTTATACACATTTGCATAATGAGATACACATTTGCAGTCAAAACGAGCATCTTGACATGCATTTCCAGATTAAAAACATGCATTTGTAAATTATGATGCGCATTTTCAGATCGAAACACTAATTTGCTAATATTTTATTTCATATTTCCAATGTGTTAACATTTGTTGCTTGAAAAAATTGTTTATTAAGTATTACTATTTGCTCGTTTTTGGAAACCTCAAATACAGGTAGAACATACCAAACCCTCTCAGAAATGACGCCAGCTGGCATCTGATATGCCAACAGCAGTCCTGTGAAACCTGTTACTGTAAATCAATCCATTTATGTAATTGGTAGACTATTTTATCTAAAGCGACCTAAATTTTGAGGAATTGAAATATACACGTTACGTTTTTCTTTGCCTGGGGTTAGAAGACATGACATTTGCGTTGTTGGCGCAATGCTCTACTAACTAAGCCACAGGAAAGCTTTGAAATAATTAAATCCGTTTAATTATTTGCTTCTTGAAACTTGTGTATTGTAAAACAAACTCCAACTCCCAAGTGAACACTAAATTTAATCCACTTTTATTCATTTATGTTGAAAAGTGTAGAAACCACAAATAAAGCACTAAGCAGCCGAGCGGAGTGAGGTTTTCCTCATGATTGTTGTGTTGTGCTTAAAATGATCAGTATTTTCAAATGAGAAAACCCAAGTGATTCAGCTTCCAACACGAATATCTTGTTAGTTAGTGAAGATTTGTTTGTCTTCTCAAAAGCCACGTTTTTGACTGGCTCTTTAAAAATCTACTCTAATTAATGTGGGGGGAAAACACAATGCAAGGGCACCTTCCAAGCCATAAAGCCTTGCGATATTACCCTCTGTGTAATGCAATTATATACCAATCATGATCATAATTCATGAATTGAATGCCTCTTTGCTGCCTCTGTGACTATAAATTAACCTCAATTTTCAGGTGATTGTACAACAGTCTGATTTGATCACATTTGGAACAAAGAGATGAGTGCTGGGAGGATGATCGAATTGTTTCCCAGTATTTTAAGGAGTGTTGGTCTGGATTGCGTATTCCTGTGAACTGGAAAAGTGACCACAAGCTGGCAATTAGCGTTATCTGTTGATCATCCACCATAAATCTGTTGGGAGCACAAGCGACAAGAAGTTGAGCCCAAACTGAAACATTTAATGCTCCAGGTCCCCGTTTTACTCCATTGTGTAAATGTTGCCATTAAATCTCTCGAGGCAGTGAGACAACATCCATGGGCTCTGTATAAACTCACCCGGATGAAGGATGTGAACACAAGGACTGGTTTCGGGTGCTTAGAGCGGGTCATGCTTCATGCTGAGAGGCATTAATCAAAGCCATCTCAGCTCCTGGTGCACAGAGGTACAGCACAGAAGAGATATCTGACGTAACTGAAAGAGAGAGAGAATGGCTGGCAGCGGATGTTCCCTTTATCTGCTTTGACACATGCAAATGTGCCCATGCAGGGCAGTTCTACAGCCTTCGAGGAGCCAGGAGGAATAAATAGCAGGTATTAATGGCAGCTCAGTGATATTTTTGATGTAATCTGCATGGATATACTGCTGGAATGCACATCAATGAAACCCACAAGGTTTCATTTTTTTTTTCAGATCTGCATGCTCTTCACCAAGGCTACTTTGAGTCGCTTTCAGCTTTGGAGTCATGGGTTTGCTTCGTTTGGTCTGGGTGAAGAGGAACAACAGATTCATTGCTGCGATCGTCTGCAAATTTTGTTCTCATTCCCACCACACTGATCGCTCAGGTCTGCAACCAGTGAAAATACAGCCATGTGACCTCATGGGGGCCACTTATTGGTTCCATACGTCATTATAAGTGTTTCCTCGACTGCTTCTCCAAGCTCTCAATTCTCCAAGTTTGACCACAATTTGAGTTCCATCATGTTCTCACCACAAATTAACTGCTCTAGAGTTCATCTGGAACCGTACCGAGACCACATCCTCAAGCTTTTTTTTTTGTCCACTTTTGGTTCATTTATTTATTTGTATTCAGTTGCTTTTTCATCTGTCAAAAAGAACCAAACTAAAAGAAAAAGCAAAGTCTTGTAAGAATGAATCTAAACAAGTCAAGTGTGAAAGTACGCTTATGTGCTCTTGGAACTTTTGGTCTGGGGCACACCTAGAACAACTCAAACTTTGCAAAACCAATCATAGACGATCTTGATGTTTACATTCAAACCGGTGCTTTAAGTGGACAAGAAGAAGTGATCTGAGCATCTGCTGAATGTAAAAATATATAAACATGGATGATCACACGAAAAAGATTTATTTTCTATTATGTATGTCGTCGTTTTAGTTGTTTGTTATGAAACACAGTCTTGTCTCTAAAATGTACAAATAGAATACCATCACAAGATTTATTATTTATTTAGCTCTAAAGGAATTTTCTTTACCTGCTCTAAACTTCACTTTGAAACCTGTCTCCACAAATATTTTCATCCAGACAGAACACAGGGGTTTGGTAATGAACTGTCAAGGAACATTTTCCAGTTCTTTTTTGAAACCAGTGTGACTTCAAACAAAGCAATTTCTGTTTAGAAAGAAAGTGATAATTGTCGGTCTCATGGGGTTTTTATAGAGTACAGTTGTTTTAATTCAGTCTCTTATAATGCAGATTGGTCACTGTGCATTGCTTGTGTCCCTCTAAATTGGGAAAACATTGTCGTTTGGTTTGTAAGACAACACAGAAAAGCTAATTAGTGACCTCAATTCATGTTCATCAGTTACGCTTGTAATTAACAAAAGCCATTAGTACGAACAGCCTTTCACCCTCTCCCATGATATAATTTGAGTTAAATGATGATGACTCTCTGATATTCAACCTGACAGAAGCAAATGTGCTGACGAGGAGCATGCTCAAGCTTTTTAGACATGAAAATGGTGGAAAGACATCCATCTTAAATGTGATTTGTCTCCACAACTCAATGCACTTCTCACAGATGTCACTATACATCGGTCATCAAAAATAATCCATAAAGTCTGCAATTTGAAAATTGTTCTTTTGGTGAACGAATAGCATTCATTTTGTACACAATATGAAAACGTAACTTTGGAAATCGGCTAAATCTAACCGTGAATTGTAAAAAGAACATAACAAGGGATATGAGACATAGTTGGCAAGGTAATTAAAATGAGAGAAAATGCGCGACCATTTTACAGTTTCATTTTCCAGATTCTAAATCAGTGCCATGAGTGCCTTCTAGTGGTGAAAAGAAGCGACAGCCCTTGGAAATATAAGATCTGTGAAATGGCTTGGCTTTTTCAAAGTTCTGGCAGAAAAAAGCACAATGGAACAAAAAATGCTTGGAACAGTGTATAAGGTATAAAAGGCCTTGGCTTGTTTTTTTTTGGCTTGTTAATAATTTATTATTATTTGATTCTCACATTGTTTTGACCTTTTATTTACTTTTGGGGGGGGGGATTTGAGAGGTTTTTTTGTCTCACCATGTTTGATTTTTATCATAAAACATAAAAACTGTTCATTCTCATTTTTGCTGTTAAAAAGTAAACAAAATAATTCATATACTCATCCAATCATATCCAGTTATGCTAATTAACAGATTCCTCTACCACGTTTTTCTTTTGCATGCGATGATGTCTCAAACTACATCTGTTTTTCGTTTTCTTTACTGCCTCGGTACAAGAAAGCCTCGTCCTCATCAGTCAGACTGTTGCTTTTCATGATTTCAATATTCCCCTCAACAATAAAAACTGCAACTACACAAAAATTTGAGGAAAAAAAAACATTTTGTGTCTAAACGACACTTTGCACCTAAACAAAATCTAACAAAGCATCTTTTTCAACATTTCTCCTTTGATAAGATGTGATATATATAATATTTTTCCAATGAATTATAGCGAATGTAATATCAACATAAATATCTCATAAAAACGACATATGTAGTAAAAATGACCTAAATATTCTGTAAAAATGATCCATTGTGTTTAATGGTGTGACAATACTACCAGTTTTACAGCAATCTCCCTGAAACGCTATATGCTATCGGCCAGAGACTGTGAGCATAATATTGTGTCATTAAATTTTTTTGTGTATATCATTTTTTACCACAACAATCTCCAAAATTGAGAATGATCACTTTTTGAGCATTATAATGAAGATTGCGCATTTTTATTACCTTGCAAATAATTTTTCTCAACTCTTGTTCATTTAAAACCAAAAATGTGAAACTTTTTGAAAAATGTTAAATTTGAAATCAAAATTAAACCGTTATTTCCTGCTTAATTTATAAAAGGCACCAGTGCGTGCAGAGACTTCTAAGGGTTAAATAATATAGGGAGAAGTCATCATTGCTGTCCTAAAGTCATGCGAGTCCACTCACTATTTTTTCTCCAACATGACAAAAGCACAAAAAATTTGATAAAAACGGTAATATTTTTTAAAGAGCTTGAAAGAAAACTTCAAAAGGACAAAGAGCTCTATACTCTTGCTTTGATTTCTTTACTGAACGGGCTTTTGTTCTCATGATGAAAGACTAAGAAGATGCAATATGAGGGTGAAAAAAAGAATTATGTGTGTGTGTGTGTGTATATATATATATATAATATAAATTCTGAACTTTCTAAGAAGTTGTATTTATGGATCATGAAGCATCATCAATGTCTACCCCATCTAAAATTGGCAGATACAATCTTTATTGTTTGCCAGCCCATCACAAGGCGTCCCTAATCCTTCACTCTTTAGCCAGGAACTAGGCTGAGAATTTTGCTGAGAATCGAGCTTTGGGGCAATGATGATAGTGATTCTTTTTGTATGTCTTCACTGTGGATGAAAACCTATTTGTAAAATAAAAAAACAAAACAAGCTTTGCCACAAAAAACAGTTTAAAAGGTAATTAATTATATCAAATTGTGAATTAGTAAAACAACAGTCAAAAAGGCCCCATTCTTCTAAGGGTTAAGTGAAGTTAATATGGACTAGTTTTATTATTATTTGGAAATTTAAGCTTAACTGAAAGCCACGTTTATAGTTAACAAACACAGAACCTTGATTCAGCATTTTCCTTTCATGTGAGTGAAAATTTGTTTCGTAAAAACTTTTTTTTTGCCGTATTTAAAAAAAATGTGAATTAATTACATCAAACATTCATGATAAAAGTGTGTAGATGAAAGATGCAGGCTTATAGCTAGTAAGTTTAGTAGAGACTCAAAAACTGTGACGTGACAAGAAGCAAGAAATTCATGCTGAAGCTCTAATCACAAATTTGTTCTAGGTAATGTGTGGCAAGAGAATAATTTTCTCAAAAATCATCCAGGTGAAAAGTGCTCTGAGTTCCAAGAAACCCCCATTTCTAGCCCCAAATAGCTTTCACCTTTCTTTTTTGGAGTGAGTCCTCGTAAGCAGTCATTATATACAGCACATCTCAATCCTGAAATGGGTTTTTGGAAAAGTGACAAGCGGAGCACAAA